TAAATACTGCAGTAGTAAGTAATCGGATACAGTCCGGATGGTATCGTGTCTGTGGAGGTGTGCTGCTGGCTCCGGACGGGTTGGTGGGGCGTTGGGAGTGGATGTGCTGTCATGTGACCTGTGAGAAAGAGGCAGACACACACTCGTTTTTTCTTGCCTCGGTGAGGAGACACACAGGGAAAGACCACCGCTGGAAAAAGTACAACACCAAGTCTTCGTTACACTTTAAAGTTGATGGTTTGTGGTCCGCAGCATTAGCATCAAACGGCTGTTAACGGCTGTGACTGTTACTGGTAACGGCTGTTAACGGCTGTGACTGTTACTGGTAACGGCTGTCGGTTGGCTACGTCAGCGTCCGCATTCCTCCGCTGTGATTTAAAACGGCTGGAAGCAGCTAACGTTAGCTCCGTGTGCGCTGTGTTTGTTACTTTAAAAACAACAACAACAACAACAACAAGAACAACAAGAGCTGAAGGACACGGGAGAGGAGAGATACACAGACAGGGCGGGAGGTTTATCTGCGGTGCTGGACACTGACGGGGTAAGGGCGGACACTGAGGGGAGACCTCCTCGGATTAAAGTAAGTTGTAACTGGTGGCTAACTGGTGTTCGCTGCTTTGAAGCTTGAAGTGAAAACACTGAATGACAATTTAATATGTAGAAGCAGGGGGTTTAAAACTGTGGTCCGCGGTCCTCCAGAGGTCCGTTCACACTCTGTTAGTGTGTGTTGGGCAGTAACTCGTTACTAGTAATGTTATTACTTTACCCAGTAACTATTTAGTGTAATTAATTACTCATTTAATTCACTGCAGTGATAATAGTATAGTTACTCCCTAAAAAGTAATTAGTTACAACCAGTGTTGGGCTAGTTACTATTAAAACATTTTATCTTTTCAAAAGTAATATTATTACTTATTACTTCCTGCCAAAAGTAATTAGTTACACTACTTAACTTAGTTATGTTACTTTTCCTATAAAATTGGTACTTGTGTCTCTTCTCCATAAAGTTAATTAATTAAAATCTAGTTTTGTTTGTTAAAATCAAAGTAGTGTGAATACTTCCAGCCACTGAATATAAGAGGGGTAACTTTAATATTATTACTGAAATGTATTAGTAATTAGTTACTCTACTGGTTACTAGGGAAAGTAATATTATTAATAGTATTGAGTCACTGGTTACAACATTACTTGTGTTGTCACTTCCTGATTTGAAGTTTGCAGAGCAGCAGAAAAGTAATATAAATAAAAGTGTTACTAATTACTGTCAGGGAGTAACAAGTAAAATAACATTACTTCTGAAAAGAGTAATGAGTAATAAATAAAACCTCTTTCCCCCGTCTTTCTGTAACTGTAATAGATTACAGTCGATGATACACAAATGTCTCTAAAGAACAATAACCAATAAGTCTGTCTAATAAACAACTTAATGTATATTAATATTGGATTATGATTCGTGGTTTCGTGCTCCTCATTAGGGTCACATGCTGTGTATCCATTTGTGAATCCTCAGCATGAAAAACCTTCAAATTAAAATAAGTTTTATTCAGTTTAATGTAGTTATTTTAAATCTAGTGTATATCTGCAGCCGTCACAATAAAACGACGTTCTGTGCAGAGAACTGGAAGTAAACAAACTGTGGGTTAATCATTACCTTTAAATAATATCTGTCTTTCTAGCAGCCCGGTGAATAAAACATTGATGTCCCCTCTCTAACACCACTGATTGTATTTCTGCTTGTGTGAAGGTTGGTCGATCTGGATCCAGAGCCAGAGTCCAGACTGGAGGGAGGAGGCCAGGCGGGGCCCCCCTCCGCCAGGGGCCATGGCGACCTCTCCCGGCTCCGTAGCTCGTCGCTGGAGATCAAAGAAAAAGAAATCCGAGAAAAGGGCTCGGAGATCCTCAGGGAACAGCTGGACGCTGCAAAGAAGGTGTTGTAGCCCGATTTTACGCTGACACACGCAAAGCTTTGTGTGACCCGAAGGGGAAAAAAAGTCGACAATGCAAATGTTCTTCCTCGAAAAATGTGGTTGTGACATTTTCTCTTACGCATCTCAGGAACTGAAACTGAAGGACAAGGAGTGCGAGCGTCTGTCGCAGGTCAGGAATCAGCTGGAGCAGGAGCTGGAGGAGCTGACTGCCAGTCTGTTTGAGGTCAGCAGGCTCAGACACTTATCTTAAACCCCGAGGATGAGGAAGGTGATAAACTGCGAGTTTAACTTTACTGTAGGGTCACCGCAGATGTTTCGAGGTGAGGGAATATTCCTTAGTTCGCCTCAGCTCCACAGAGAGTTTTAGCCCTTTTGTAGCTCATTGTTTTGGTTTTCACTGTGGGTGAGAGACTTTCTGCTTAGTGAGCGCTGGAGAGCAATACACACTCTGACAGGCGTCACTCTGCTTTCATAGTTGACTTCTGCTTGCTTGGCAAGTTTGCGGCGGAACCCAAGAAAAGGCACGCAGAAAGAAAACGATAGAGGAAGAAAAGGAGATAAAACCGTATAAATATATATGTGGGAGGTTTTAATCTCTCGCTGCAGAGTCCTCTTGTCCTGGGCC